GGAGCAGGCAGGGGAGGCAAAGGGGGTGGGGTCTGACCCCTTGCCCCTCCTGGGCGTTTTGGGGGAATGAATTTAAGACGACCCCCCAATAATTAAATTCTATACACAGAACTAAATTATGATTTTCCATGTACAGAATCTAATTATTGGGGGCTCGTCTTGAATTAAAAGTTGCGTTGGATTCAGGGAAATATGGCAATTGCTATTTGATATTTTATCATTACAGATTTTCAATAGCAACTACTATCGGGTCCTGTAGGGTTTTAAGTATTTCAAGTTACTGCTGCAAAGCAGATCATGGAAAAAAAGATGTTTTGCATACAAACTTATGTAGATATATTACGCCCAGAGCTCAGCCACTACCACAAAGTTAATAGAGACTACCAGGTAAAAGTCACAGCAATAAGTACATTTTAATCTCATCTGCACTTTTAAAGGTGACTTACAAAAGATAAAACATTGGTTTATGTCTTTTTTTTGGTCTCTTTGGGACGTCTAAAATGGCCTGCAAGGTTTGTTTTTTCCTTTCTTTTCCAAGAGACCTGCAAAAGGTGCCTTGTTTAATTGCTTTGAAACCACATCAAGTCTAAATCTTCCTGCTTTTACTGGAGGATTATTTGGAGAAACTCAGAAACGCGTATCACACACTTTCAGAGATCTTAACCTTGAGCCAGGCAGTGATAGCGTTCAATTCCTAGCAAAGGCAGCTTTTCCCTCCATTTTCTGTCGGAAATTTTTAGTTAAATGGTAATTAACAGGCAAGCAAATATCCTTCCCACCCCCAAATATTTGAAACTGTGTGAATAAAGGCACCTCCCATCTCAGGTTTCACTTCCTGGCTGCTGGATTGACAAGTCTCATAGTTCTGTAAACAGCCCACGGCACCTTCTATGGCAGATACGGCTGCAAGTTTGCACGTAAAGAAAAATTAGGTAGGAAGACATATCTTTAAACCCTCCTGTCACCCTTCAGCGTTCAGATCAATCTAAGAAATGCCCAAATCCTATTTTCCCCCCTATATTAGTCACCTTTAAGAAAAGTGTTGCTCTTTAACAAGTTTTAAGCAAAACAGTAATTTTTGTCTAAAATAGCTTAAGATTTTAGACAGGACCAATTCATGCAGTCATCTACATTACCTGGTTATTTACTATTTAATATATGCTTTAGGAGCAGACTGATCCAAGGGTTCCCATGATGTGAGTTAGGTTTTTAAACTCATTCCTTGCAGTTGTCATAACAGTAATATATATGGGATCTCTAGATTTCAACCTATTTTATCCTAATGGTCTTCAGCAACAACATACAGCCGCATTTCGTTTGATGGTCATCATCTAGCTGGCTAACATTCCCAGGGCTTTTCAAGCAAGGATTAACAGGCTTCCCTCCAGTTTTAGACTGCAATCTAATGGGAAAGTTAAAACCTTTCTCTGTGAATTCTCTTTCAATTTAAAACCCCTCAATGAACAGGAAATTCACCAGGGATGTTGAGGGGAAAAAATATACATATCCTTCAATTAAAACCTATCCAAGGTCCTTCATCGATGGGCAGTATTTCAAAGCAACTGGAAAGACCTCAGTTTCACAGGCATGGATACCAATATATTCCATATGCATTTCAGAAGCAATAATTTACCATCTTTCACTACCTGGGCACAAAAGCTGGGTTTCCTATTACAACCTATACAACTTCAGGGATCCTGCAGGACTACATCAAGTGTCAAATCACATAGTTGCTTTGCTTTATTAAATTTTCCCCCTAATTCATGACCTGACATAACACAACACTGCTACATCAAAGGCAATATACGTCAAGTAAATCCTCAGACTCCATGGTACGGTATTAGGGCTCTAATATACGTTTCCCTTTTCTCTCTACCTTTTAGTCAAAACTGATTTTATATTTTACCTATATACCATTTCAACACATCCAAGTCATGAATCTCATTCTCTCTTCCACCTCTCTTGCCCCTGACTGGAAACTCCCTTTACCTACTTGCGTTGTGATCTTTTGTAGACTCATTGGGATGAGTAATGATGGGAAAATAGGAAGGCTTTGTTCTTTACGTTTTGGAGTGCGTGTCCTGCACGAGGCAACACCCCAGGTACTCCCACTATTCTGGCTGCACAGTAGCCAGAAGAGATTGAGAGAGACACTCAACTAATCATGCCATACTGTATAGTCGTTCAGCAAACTGATTAAATATCCCCTAGGGACTTGACCATCACTGAACTCATTTTCTTTGGTGAACCAAAAGTGAAACACAAGTGTCTGTCATACATGAAGCCATTAAGCTAACTGGCTGAACGAGCAGATTCTATATATTTTTAATCTTGTTTTTCATCCCTTCCAGCTTACATTATATTAGCCATCCACAAATCCTTTTCATTCATCTTTCTGGGCAATAGAGCCGATTTCATTTTATTTCACCAAAAGTACACGTGTTTTGTTTTGTTTTTAAACCCAGCACAAATTAGACTCTTAACTGATGCAATGATATATTTTAAAAACAAAAACCAAAGATTTGATGTCTGACACATTGGCAAAGCAGCACTTAATGAAGTTCCAGAGAAATAACTGTTTCCTTGATGAAAACTCTGAGAACCAGCTGACACCTTCATTACCATCAATCTATTTCAAGTAGCAAGAACTTGTGACTCCCAAAAGTAGAAATGCAAGGGACATTTATCATGGAGAAGCCATGATGCAACCTACACAAACAGCCGATTCGAAACCAGAAAGTGGGACAGGCAATATTTACTTAGAGATCACAAAGCAAATTTTCACTGTGATTTCTGGATTGCAAATATCGGCCTCCTTAGTTCCCGAGCAGTAGGCTTGCAGGGCACTTATTCACGTGCTCTTGCTGGAGTCCAGGCATTCCATTCAGATAAGATCACACCTTCAGGAAAGGAGGGTGGAGGGAAGATGAAATTAACCTTTGCCCTGATCGTTTGTCACTGGATAAGATGTCTTGAGATAACCACATCAGTGAATCCCAGTGGGAGGACTGGGTAAAAACAAGATCAAACTGAAAACCGGAGATAGAATTTGAACTGAAGTTTCCCAGGTAATTAAATTACAAGAAAAATTCTGCAGGCTCATGCTACTGAATTGCTATTGGTTAGGCCTCCTGTGTTCAGATCTGATCACTGGAAATATAACAAGAGGGCTCTTAAGGAAAAAAAAGGAATGCATGCTGGGGGCGAGAGGACTCAGAGAACCAGTTCACGGCACAATCGAGACATTAGTTGACGTAGTGGGTTTGGAGGAATTCAAAATGCTCCCACCGGGAGAATGGGTTTCGTAAGGAAGTGCTGATTTATCACATAAATGCCAATACTATAATCATTGTCATTTACTGGCAGGTGGAAATATTCTGGAATTGGGTAACCAACAGGACAGGTCTGCTCTCAAGGGGCCGAGTCTTCAGTGTTTACTTGCAGGTGGAGATGCTGTATCTTCTCTGCCCCCACATCACTTACAATAACTTTATTTTCTCAACACAACCCTGCTGCAACTCTGCCCTTGTTCATAATACCATAACTTCCAAAATACGAATTACATAAGAACGAGTGAACCATAGCCCTGGATTTTGCCCAATGAAAAACAGAGGCCAAGATTTCAAAAGCTGCCACAGAAATTCAGAAGCACAAATCCCATTTAAACTCCTGAGTCATGCATCCAAATCCTCTTTGGGGAAGGACCACTTTGCACTACAAGTCTGTACAGTGCCTAGCACAATGGCCTCCTGGTCCGCTGCCATGCCTCCTAGGACATGTCTCAGTGGCTTTGGTGCCAAGCCCCACAGCCCTGCCAAGGTGCTTGGCTTCCTGGCTCACTCTTGGTCAAAGCATGTTAGAGCCCAGAAATTGGGCCAGCAGAGCATGGCCCCGAGCTGTACACTCACGAGAGAAAGCCTGAGTGCTGGCTCTGGGCAACTGCTGAGGGCTGTGCAAACCCAGCAACACTGCCTGGGCACCAGCACATGCTGAGCAGGAGGAAAGTGGGCAGAGTGTGCTTCTAAGGAAGACTCCTGGGCTTGCCTTGAGGACAGTGCAGACATGACACTCCAGCCATACAAATAAGCAATCCCTGACTGGGCCGCCTCAATCTCACGCACAGTTCCTGATGCAGCAATCATTTCTTTCCTCCTAACCATGCTCCTAACCATGCTTTTCTGTACTGACACAACATCAAGAGTTGCATGTGTCACTGAAACCCACTGCACCAGTGGAAAGATCACAGGGAAGAAGACATCTGAGGTGTGCCCTGGCCTCTTATGAGCTGCCACAGCACAAATATATAAAGTACACTGTGTACACAAACATCCCAGACCTTACAAGGTACATACAAGTATTCTGTAACAGCAAAATCCAAATCTTTTAATGAAGGGAAGGAAGTCTGAGCATGGTTTTTTGCTTACCAAGAAGGCAGTTCTAACACCAGGGGGAAAGACACAAGGCAGGTAAAAAAAAAAATCATCTTAAAACCTATAATCAAAATAGTCTACAGTCTAAATACATGGTCTTACACTTCCCAGTCAGAATTCATACTGTTATAAAGCTCCTTCAATGGTGACTCACAAAGGAAACGTCTGTCGGTGCCTGTCACGCAGCAAAGATTAGGGCTTATACAGGAAGGCCCAGTGCAAAGCCAGGAGTCTCGGTGAAAAGAGGGAAGAGACACAATGTACAGATTGCACCAACACGCCTCCACCCCTCCTCTTTTTCTTCCTGCCAGTAGTGTTTTGTGTTCAGAAAGAACAGCAAACCTTTGAATTACATACATACATTAGCAAAATCCTTACAATACCTTTACTAACAAATGTAATCCAGGGCCCTAAGCCACAAGACAATGTACTGCTGCAGTCTTCCATCCCTTCCTCCCCACCAGGCTTCCCAATTAAAACCTGCACTTCATGATCAGATGCACTGTATTGACCTCAAGAGGAAAGGTTTGGTCTGCAGTCCACTCTCAAACAATGCTCCCATTGGGTCCAAGAGCAAATTTTTCCTGAATAAGGAGTCCAGGACTAAGGTTTGAGTTATCAAACTCAAGTATTTTTGACAATAAATTCACATTCTTCCATTACTATATTTTGCCATCATGTGACGAACTCATTTTCTGTGCGATTCCTTTCCATACAAGGTCAAGTGCAGAACTGTGGAGTTTACAAGGTGACAATAGTGGCAAACAGCACTCACCTCCTGAAAGAGCGTAGACATTTCACAGACCAGACATGAGCTGGGACTTTGCATTTCACATTTGTGCCTGTCAGAGAGGAAGAAATCTCGCAGCAGTGGAGTGTGGGTAAGTGCCTGGACAATACAGTTCATAAAACATGTGTTCCCAAGATTGATTAGCCCTCGGAGCCCTATAAAGACAGAATGGGAAAGGAAACTGTAAGCATTGTTGAGTGAATATAATGGTGCATTTCATTCATTTGCATTTTTAAAAATATAGTTCTGCTGTAAAATATCACGGGCTCTCTCACACAGTGCTGAACGTGAGACTTTATCTTGTGTCAAGTAGAGAATGTTGCTCTGAATTGTTCAAAACGCTGCATTTCACCCTCCAAACAGTAGTAAGGTTTTTTAATTCCTGTAAGAATTTGTGGCTTGTTCAGACAGACAGAATATGCAATAACACCTTTACCATTTTTCCCCAACATACTGTATTTTCTTTGCGTACAACATACCCTGGAATCTAATAAATGCTTTGTTTTTGAAGGCAGAATAAAGAAAAAAGACGTTTCCAGAGTTATGGCTGCATAGAGGAGGGATGCAGCCTAACCTTCCACTCTCACCTTGCTTTCCTGATTAACTAAAGCTGAAACCCTAGCTGTTGGTGATGACTGGTCTCCATGGGTAGATCTATGATTTTGTAAATAGCTAAAGTCTCCAAGGCTGTGAAAGAGGAAGAGCAAAATTGCCCTGAGAAAGGTTAGCTTAATTAGTAGAACATCAAGACCATTAAAAAGGAGAGATGATGGTTAACAACTCTGGAGTGAAGAACAGCAGGCTAATAACGAGTCAACTGACTTCCTCAGCTGCTTGAATAGTAATACAACAACTACTACACTGTGGGGAAGAAATCAAAGCAAGATGCTTCTATATCCTGGTCTGCAAATCAGCTTCCTCACTTAATGCATGCACTCCAATTTTGAGAGGCTGATTTTTGGAAAAAGGTGCATATTTTATGTGAGAAAATACTGTATGCTGTAGGTTCCCCACCACCGCCGCCAAAAACCTCATTACTTATATTTCCAATTAAAGAAGATAATGAGCAGGTGGTATGGTGGTAGAAGTATTCTAGATAGTGGTCAACTCACCAAGGTGTAAATAAAGCTAATTTGTCACTTCGTACCCAGGATTTCCTTCATGCTTTTATGATTTGATCATACGTCATTTTATTTTATGATACCAATTCCCCCTTTCTGAAATGTACTGTGGGTTGCAAGACAGCGGCCATTTCTTCTACCTTATGGTTCAGGTGACAAGATGATTGTGGTGGATTGTACCCAAACCGTTAGTCCAGATTATGCTTAATCTAGTATCATTTGTACAGAATTGGAGCGTCTAAACACAGCAACCTTAATTAAATAAAAATGTGTAAGGCTGTGGCTCCTAAAACAGCTATAATAAAAAACCAATAAACGTTAATGTACAACACACAGGACCAAATTCAACATGGCACAAGAGGATTCAAAGTCAAGCAGATTCCAGAGACGCCATCTTGTATTTAGAAGCCAAGATGCTCAAGGAAAATAGCCTCTCTCTTGTGTTTTTTTTGCATACCATGAAAATGGCTAGAAGTGAGGGAAGCTTTTCAGTCATTTGAAAAGTCCAGCTAAGAAGAAAAATATGCTCAAATCTTTGGCTATGCCTCCAAAGTCTGACCGCCACATACAAGTAGCTGTGAGCTAGAAGAACATCACGTGGAACTGAACGGTTAATTTTAAATGCACAACAATCATTAAAAAAAGCATACCACAAAACTAAGTGATAGCCTGATGGCAGAGGCTCTTTAACACTGGGATGTCTGTCCTGCGCAATAGTTACAGTGTAACTTGTGCAATACCAACCGGAGCCTGGTAGGCAATGCAAACCAGAGGGAGTGATCAGCCAGTTTGAGAATTCCCCTGCATTTCCATGAGAAGAAACCAGATGGCAATGCTGAGGCTCTTAAAAAAAATGCTGCAGTTCCCTTGCAGCACACCAGACAGTGCTCCAAAGGCCCCTTCGCCTCCGTCTGCATGAGGGGTGTGTTCTTGTTGCCAGGTGACAGGAGACCAAGAATGCTGCCTAGCATATTGAGTTGTAGGCGATTCCTAAATCATTCCTCCAGCATGCCGTGTGACATGGTCCTCCCCGCCACGGCTTCCTGTCGCCTCTGTTTACTCTGGAATGCAGCTCAAACTTTCCAATTTACATCATAGCGATTTCTACTGGGCAGGAAGCTCACTGTAATCATCTGCTTTATTTGCCTGCTGAGAGGTCGAGCCACTCAATGCGCCACATTAAAACTTGTTAAATAGTTAATCTGTCACAGTAGCCTGAAGTGCAGCGTGATGCTTCCGTCGGTACGCAGCCCCCTCTAACCCCAGCTCGGAGATCTCTGAGCATCATGTCACAACACAGGGATGTTCATGCTGCGGCGAGTGCAGGAGTGTCTGATCAACGGGGCTTGCCTGATATCACTTATTTAGAATTCACTCTAGTTGCCATGCTGCTACTGAGGCCTTTGCAAATTCCTGGCCATGCCTGTGATCTAGGAAGATATTCAGCACATATTCAAGCAGCAGGGCTTGTCAAAGGAAGAGAAAGTCCCTATCCATTTTTTACTGCAAACTTTTACTGCACTCTGTCACCTATGGTCCGTGACAGAGTTGAAAAATCAGGCTATGCAGTACTGAAGGTTAGTTCGTGGAAAAGCAGTACTGCACCTAGTATAGACGACGCGTAACTGCTGATACTTAGGGGACACAACTCTGCCACACTCACTGCTGCCAGGCGCTGGGTTTGGCCGGGCTGCAGCCCCGCATCCCACCATTGGCACAGAAATCTGGGAGGAGAGAAGGGGAGCGCGCATCCTCCCCTGTGCTGTCCCCCCACCTCGTTTATAGCACCTAGCAAGTCCTATCCTATTACTTTTATTCTCAGTGTCCAATTAAAATGATCCCAAATAAATGCAAACATGCACAGACTGCTTTTTAGACTTGTTTATTAAGTACTCTTCATTATATGCCTGTGCTTGAACCCTGTTCTGCTATGACTACAAGCAGCATCCCTTCAGGATGGTCACCCAAAGACAAATATAGTGCTCCAAATTCAGAAGGCTGGCCTGGTGATGCTTTACAGTTTTACACAAGCTTTTCATTTTTCCATGCATCCAAAAGGCATTCTTCATATGATGCTACGCCAGCTTGATTGAGTTCAAATGCGGACCTGTAACACATAAGATAGTGCTGAAATCTGGATCTCTCAAACCCTAATGAACACACTGCAAACAAAAATTTGAAGCAAAATACCAGACTTACTTGGCTGGGGATCACAATGTATTTAGCCCTGGGGCAGCCATGAATGCAGAAGCCACAGTATGTGATGAGTTGTCTTCTGAAAAGAAACAGTATAGTGCACGGAGTTAGAGCTAAGCTATACAACCAGCATATATATCTACTATAAGAATCGCTGCATCCTTACCTTGGAAAACACTGACTGCTGAATTTTCATGCATATAGGATTAACTGTTGACAGGACTTGGTTCAAAGTATTCCTGAAAAACAAAAGAAAGTTGGCTGGAGAGGTAAGAGGTACAATGACGTGAAAGCACATTCCAGGACAGAGATTCTCTCTGTTATACTTGGGCTATTAAAATGCAATAATATTATGCAAAACAGCCTCTACTCTCCTTGTGACTTGTCCCACTCAGGGAATGTTAGTGATTTTTTGGGATGTCTGTGCTGTCTAGAGTACATGGTAAGATGTCCCTGGAGTTTAGAATGCTTCGTCATTGAAAACTACATTGGAAAAAGAAGTGCAAAAACCTCAACTGTATTAGTCCACTCTTGCTTACAGCAACATCTCTCTTTGTTGGCATCTCTGACCATGGAGCAATGCCTGCAAGGAGCGGATTCATTTGCTAAAACTGCTCATCTTTTCAATAATAGGTCAGCTGTACTGAGCAGACCTTCTGTTGTATTTTACAGTACCTTAGATTCTCTCGTCCCATTCATGCTTTCTGGGGCATTGTCTCTGGAGTGGCCTTGAGAAATGCAGACACTGAAGATGTATGATACATACTGTAGCCACACACATTTGTGTTCTGGCTGGTGAGCTCATTTGATATAATGGCACTGATTTCCCTCTTAAACTTACTGTTGGAAAAAGGAAGAATACATGAATAATACCACTGTCCAACTGACAAGCTGTAAAGTATGGTACAAATGCAAGCAAAGGAAAACACTCATCAGCACCATACCTGGGGTGCCTGCATGGCTCTGTTTTTAGTGGTCCATCAGATAGTGGATAGGAAGGGTATGAATGCAGCTGTAAGAAAGCTAGGTCCACAACACATTCTGCATGGATCATGTATCCAAGTGATGCATTTCCCAATTCTATTTGCTCTCAGCTTTGGGCACTGAGCACTTGGCTTACCTTTGTGATCTGTAGTTCTTCACTTTTCTTCCGTCAATGCATTTTATAATACTTGCTTACTAGAAGGAGACCCACACTACCATGCTGCTATATGCTTTGGGACAATTCATGGAAAATCATAAAACATTGCTTCTTCACACCCAGACAACGACAAGCAAAATGTCACTGCTGGGAGTTCAGCAACTGTACAACCCACAGTCAAGTCAATGCTATAAATCCACAAGAACTTTGCATTCAGCCAAATTGCTAACTTGTCCTTCTAGTTAAGACATTGTCTGTCACCATCACTGTTGAAGGCAGTTTCCTGCGAAGGCCAGCAGAAAGCCATCCTGACAAGGAGGCACCATGCTAAAATCCATGTGTGACTTGGAGTGAAGATGTTGAATGCTTAATGTACAGGTCACCGTGCAGTAACATTAGTATAAAATAATAAGTGCTTTCCCAGGCAATCAGGGATCACTTAGACGCACGAACACAAGGCCACCCTGCGATTACCAAATGAGATTGCAGGTAAACCATGTTACAGCATTATATTTTTCAGTTTTCTGCCAACCACCAGTGGATCCTCTAAGCCAGGGGCGGGCAATTATTTCAGGCGGAGGGCCGCTTACGCAGTTTTGGCAGCCTGTCGAAGGCCACATGGGTAGCTCTGCCTCTTGACAGGTACCCTGCCCCCTGGTCACCATCTTGGGACCAATGTCCCAGAGCCAGCACTGGTGGGGCCCAAAGCAGGGCACAGGCTGGCAGAGGTCTGTGGAGCCGGGCTGGGCTGCACCAGCTGGCAGAGGGAGCAGCTGGCCTGGCTCCATAGATCCCGTGCTGGCCGGGACCCTGCACTCCTGCCACCATGCTCTGGGCCCTGCCAGCACTGGCCCTGGGACACCAGTGCGGGCCCTGTGCTCCTGCTGGCTCCTGCGCCTGCTCACACCTAGTGCCCCCCAGGCCCGCGGTACAGGCGTGGGGCAGCACACAGCCCCAACCACCTGGACGCCAGCAGGGAAGAAGCTGGTGCTGAGCATGGGGAAAAGCGGACCCTCGCCCACCCCATGGCCAGCGCTCCCTGCTGCAGTCGCTCACAGCCCGCACGGGGCTGTCTGGAGCAGGCACAGACAGCCCCACGCAGGCTGTGAGTGGCTACGACATGGGGTGCTGACCACGGGGTGAGCGAGGGGCTGCTTTTCCCTGTGCTGAGCACTAGCTTGTAACCCAGCCCCACTGCTAGCCTGGGCTCACCTGTCAGCAGCGGCAGCTGCGGTCCCCCCGCTTGCCGTGCTGGGCAGCGTTGGCTACTGATGCCCACCCGGTGCTCATGCGCTGGGCAGCCCACAGGTGCTGGTGGCAAACACTGCCCTGCATGGCAAGCAGGGAGGGCTACAGCTGCTGTCGCCACGCGCAGCCCCGACGGGCGAGTCGGGAGCCGGCACAGGGCCCAGGTTAGCTGCAGAACCAGGTTACAAGGTGGTGATGAGCGCAGGGTGTGGTGGAAAGCTGACCCTTGCCCGCCCTGTCACCGGTGCCCTGCAATGCAGCTGCTGCCTGTGCCTGTTCTGGACAGACCGCGTGGGCCACGAGCAGCTGCAATGCAGGGGCAGGTGAGGGGCTGCTTCCCCCTGCCCTTTAACTTTTCCCTGGGCCACTTTTCCCCAGCCTCCTTCCCTGCCCAGGGTCCTCCCCTGCCCTCCCCCGACCTCTTACCCGCGGTTCTGGCACGGGGCAGCCATGTGGTCCCAGACCAGAAGCCCCTGCTGAGGCTTCCAGCTGTGTGTGTGTGTGGGGGGGGGGGGCAGGCAG